GGGGGGGGGGATACCCGGGGCCCGGAGTGCTCAGAGGGGCCCGAAAATCTCGGTAAAATGTTCGTATTGTAATTTATCACCCCTTTATGTTTGTCCTATATTATGAAATACGCCTTCTTGCACACTATCCGCTCATCGTCGTCATCGATCATAAAACGTACCAAATGTGAAATAAACGATTTTTCGATCGTTTTCTCATCAAAAACACAGTTAGCTCAACTTAGCTGAACATCGTTCACATTGCGTTTTTATCAGTTATGCAGCAATTTCTTTCAAGTAATTCGCTGACAATTCTCTTGTTGATTGCAATTAAAAATAGCCAGCAGGAGAGCTGAGAGGGACAGGGGGCCCGTGTTTACCAATGACCAATCGTCATTTTGTCCCGAGGCCCGTTGTTGGCTCTCGCTGGCTTTGCAGAACGTTGTCTTGCAGCAGACTTTGACCGGGGGGGCCAGCAGTCTGACTAAGGGCCCCCGGTTTTTGCCAGGCGGCGCCCAAGTATACAGATGTATACAACTATACATATTTAATTATAATAAGGTTTAAATTAACTCATTAAATATTTACATTCCCTTTAGGCTAAATCTTTTTTGTGACCAACAATATTCCAACAATATTCAACAATTAATCACACTTAAGTTAATAAAGATGAAAATATTCTAAACTTTAAATAAAGTTACCAATATCATTATTTGGAATAGTGCTGCACAAGAAACTTAATTAAGGGCCAATTTAGTAAATTGGAGATGATAAAGCTATTTGGAGATAGTAAAGCTATGAAATGTCATACATCAAGGAATACCATTAGTAATAATTTGTGAACAATGTCAGTGTATATGTCACTCCATTTATATTTGGATGATCAAAATAACCAACTATATAGAATAACTTAACCCTTTGCCGCATAGATTTATTTTTGGAAAAATGCTGTTTTTCCAATAAGTGGAAGAGAAAATAAATTATGCCTGAGACATTTATCACAAGTACATCAAATTGTATATCAAGTTGAAGCTTAAATAACACAGATTGTAAATATGCAACTCATATGCATACATATATAGTTTCCATGGCAACAGTGTACCATTTCGTGCTCAATAACAGTAATGGTTATTCAAGAAGTCCGGTCTCTAGGTGCCGACAAGTCAACATAATTCACTCCTAAAATTATTTTATTCATTATGATGAAAAGTGCATTACATGAGCTTTCATCTGGTATATAACTTTATAAAAGCAAATTATTGTTTTATCAGAATTTTTGTCACTTATTGCTGGATACGTATTGTGCAATAGTATAGGTTGGTTGAAATATAGGTTGGTTGAAATATACATGTACTTTGGAGTTCCATTTTTGCATATCTTCGCTCACTTGCCATTCAGTTTTGGAAAATGTATGTCATGAATTGTATTCTCCCCTATCATATACAATATTTACATTTTCTAAGCCACTATCTATATTATCAATAAGCCCAAAATTTCAAAATGATTTATCGAGGCACTTGACTGCCTAGAAATGCTTGATTGATAACAATATTCGGCTCAGTATTCACAAGAAATATTCATGCACTCCCAAACTTGCAAACATTGTATTATAATTTCGATCGAAAAAAATCCAATATAACACGCAATATACACTTTTCCTTGCATTATAAACATTGTTTACTCACGTTACAGCCATTATTTAAAGGGACAGATCTTCTTTCTTTCATAAAAATCGTTTCAAAAGGCATAATTCGTTCAATAATATCTCAAAATGGGCTATTCCATTTAATATCCGTACCCCCCCCCCCC